GCTGCAGTCCCTTGTGTCAAGCAGAACAGGATCAGAGGACCAGAAGTTACAAGTAATGCTTACAGGTGGAAATATGTTTCTCCTTCCTGCAAATGAAGCCAGGTTCTGACACTTAGAACAGCCAGGGTACACCCTGCTGCCACCTTCTCTCTTTAACACAATGGCACCTTCTGGCCCAGACACAAATTGCAACCCTGGTTTCAGGAGAGGAGAATGTGGCTTGAGGGGTAGTCTCTGTGGAAGGACTCTCCTTGAAACGTATCCTTGCTTATATGCTGTTGGCTACAGCACAGTCCAAAGGCCATGCTTAGCCACACAGATGGCGTATCTTCTTGCAAGGTGGACTATGTTCACACTGAACTTGAGGTTCTATAATTAAGGAAGCTGAAAGGATACTAGGGGAAAAGCAAGACCCAGTCCACAACTCAGACCCCTGGATGAAAGTGGGCCAGGAGCCCAAAGAACAGCTGAAACAGAGTACTTCTTTATTTTCCATGGAGGTAGAACAGGGGGCTTGGGGGAGCCCTGCCCCAACATGTGTCACTTGCAGACCTCACTTCCAGAAAAGCACATTCCAAAAGAGCAGCCAGCAGGGATAGAGGCCCAACGTCAGCAATGGGAAGAGCAGGGCACCGTAAGTGTGGTGCTCTAGCACGCCTTGTGACAGTGCTGACAGGAAAAGTTGCCAGCCTTCCGCCAATGACAGTGGCACCTCCTGCAGTTCTCGCCACAGGAACAGGCTGCCCAGGAGCACAGCTGCTGGGCTGGTCAACACCAGCAGGGCAGCATAGAGTGGCCTGGGTAGAGGAGCAAGGTCAGAGTAAATTCTGCTGTGGGGACAGTGGATTGAATGAGAGTGTACGCTGTGGGGAAGGGCAAAAATACTGTTGGATGGGAGTACCAACTATCACATACCGGGGCCCATGAGGCTTGGTGAGTACAGCAGCAGGCACCATGGTGGCAGCTAGTAGGAAGCCCAGTGAGAAGTTTGTGAGGGTAATGCAGCCCAGTTGTAGTGCTAGGTAAATCAGAGCCACTAGTTTCAGGGTCATCCATCCTCTGTCTGCAGCCTGTGTGGTCACCATCCTGCAAAGAGAAAGGCTCAGAGGCAGCCTGCCTGCATGTCCAGGGGCCCCTGCCTCCACCTGCCCTGCCCAGTGCCTCACCGGTGGGTGTTGTGTGGAAGGGCCAGGCCAGCTGCATAAATTGCCAGCAGTGTGAGCACCACAGCCTCAGCCTCAGATACTGGGAAGTGTTGGGTGGCCACATGTTGACCCAGCACAGGCAAGATGTAGAGGGCCAGGCCTACAGCCTGAGAGATCAGAAGGGGTGCGACGAGCGAGGCCAGCCCCACACCCTAAAGGCACATAGGTACCTGGAGATGGAACGTAGGGCCAGAACAGCACCCCCCACAACCTCCTCTCTAGCTGATGCTTAGGGACAGCAGAAAGTACAACTTGGTTGCTAGAAACCTACCCAAATGCAGAAAGGGGCATCATCACCTGTGCTGGGAGAAGAGGCGTGCTAGGTCCAGGGGATCCCCCACCTTCCTCAGGGCCCACTCCAGCCTCATGTAGTTGCATCCACAGCTCCAGAGCATGGTCCGAGTCAAGGACCCCATAAAAAGTATGATGGGATCTGCTTCTGCTAGATAGGACCCAGGGCTCCCCTCACCCTATTCCCAGAGCAAGATCAAGGATTGTCCCCAGGATAGAGTTGAGGGGATTCAAAGCTGGTTATAAGTAAACAGTGCAGGTACAGGATATCTTGAGACCAAGAACCAGGAGCAAGAAGCCAGCAGCAGGCATATAGAGGCCAATGGAGACGAATCGGGAGAGAGCAGGAAGCAGGTAGAAGAAAAAGGACTGATGCAGGCGTTCCAGGAGATGGTTGAGCTTGCGGAACATGCCCTCTAAGGCCCTGTCAGGGTACACAGATGTAAGGTCAGCAGCCATCTCTCAACTCTGCTGACACCGCCCCAAACAGGCAGAGATGAGCACAAGCTACTTACTTTCCCACTGCTACCAAGTCATACTTGTACTGGCGGAAGCTATTGATGCCACGAAGAGTGAGGGCCTCTACCCCATAGCGCAGGAAGAGGCCATGGGGACCATGGGGACGGCCAGAGGCCTGCCGCAGAACCATTAGCAGCAGTGTCTGAAGCCCTTGCAGTGGTCCATCCAGCGATGTCCAGTCCTGGGGTTGCAGCTTTGGAGGCACAGGGGAGAGGATCAGATAAACCCCTTACCTGAGGCCCTGTGCTCCTAGGCAGGTGGTCTCACCTTGCCCTGAAGTGTACATAGCAGCCCTCCTTTCTGGCAGAAGGTCTGGAAGAGGTTGAGGAGGTCAAGATTGGGCAGCTGTCCATTGAGTCCCTCCACAATCACATCAAGGCTGGTGACCACATCACTGCTCAGCTCCAGGGCCACTGCTGCCTGAATGGCCCCAGCCCGGCCCTGCAGGGAGGATGATTGCATGCCTGTAGAATCAAGCAAACAAATATCAGAAGGTGCAATGGTGAGGACAACTGACTCTGAGAGGGACCAAGACAAGGCAAGAGTACCTACCAGTAACATTGACATCATGGTATGCTTCAAGCCAAGCTTCAGTGCCCAGAAGATCATGTTCAGTCAATAGGAAGATGATATCTTTGGCCCAGTAAATCTGTCCTGGAGGCCAAAGGTAGGGTCACTAGGACCTGGAGCACTGGCCAAAACCCTCCCTGGGCCTGGCCAGCAGACCCAGAGCCTCACCTCGGAAATGGGCAGCAAGTGCTAACAGAAGTCCCACAGCCTGGCTATTGGGAGAGTCAGGGCCACAAGGTACAGTAAGCACCAGGGATTCGGTGCTGGCAGCGCGAGGGGCCCGCAAGATGCCATACACGTTGGTACCTGACACCATCTGCATACAGGATTGGTAGAGAAGCCTCATTGTTAACTCCACACCAGAGCCCTGAAGCCTTCCCCCCACCCTATTCTCCAGACAATACCGTGCTCACCACAAGGGGCTCTCCCTGGCCCTAGATCCCTCCCATTGACTTTCTTGGCCCCAGGACACCCTCCAACATGATTCTCAGCCCAGGCCACCCCTCCAAGGTACTTTTTCATCCCAGGTACATCCCCTCCCACAATACGTAGCGCTCGTGGGTCTCATCTGGGAAGGGCAGTTTTCGGGAGAAACTCTGCGTGTAGACTTCCAGCCCTACTGACCGCATCGTCCGCTCCAGCCAGGCGACTGGCAGAGCCCTGGAAACACAAAGAGAGCTTCTGTATAGGGGTCCCTGGCCGTGGCCACCAGTGGTTTCCCGATGCCCACCGCTTTGTTACTTACCCAGACTTTCTGCGATAGGCAGCGAAGTCCCGAGCAAAGGCCCGGGCGCGGTCTCCGCCCACAAACTGTTCTTCCACCATGGTGGACCCCATGGCGTTCTCGGACATGTAAGTGCGCTGGGTCAGTGGTGGGAAAGCCAGCGCCAAAAACCAGGCGATGCCGGCCACATAACTGAGCAGGCTGCGAGAGACGACAGAGGTACTTAGAGGTCCTGGGACGCCGGCTGTGGCCACTACCTCTGCACCAGGGGTCGCAGGGACCTACACCCAGAGTGACGGCACCCAGGATGCCGGAGCGCTGAACCCGGGCCTGACACTGCACTATGCTGACAGTGGGGAGGGACCCTGCCGGAGCGAAGCCTCTAGTAATTCTAGTCCGGGCCTCGGCCCCTCCTCCCCAGAGCCCATCCTCACCAGAGGGGCGCGTTCAGGCGCAACACGAGGCGGGCAAGAGCGCGCCGTCGCACCGGGTCGGACAGGAGACCCATAGTGGGGCGGGGTAGGACGCGCGGCTTCCGTACCCTACCCGCGCCACCAGGTAGGGCAGAGGAGCGTAAGCTACTCCTGTCACACCCGGGGGCTCGCGCCCAGACTCACTTCCGGTCCCATCACTTCGCGCCGCCGCTGCGCATGCTCAGAGCATTTTCCACGCCTCTTTGCCTACTGCGCAGTCTCCAGAGCTGTGGAGCATGGGATAGGGCGGGACTAGAGTCTGGGTTCGTCGTCAATTGGGAGAGGCGCGCGAGAGGGCAGTACCGATCGCGCTGGAAGGGATCAGCGGGGGTTGCCCGCCCTCGGAATAGGAGGCTGCGACAGTACGCCGACAGAAAGGATGGCAAGTTTCAGACGACAGCGCGCAGGGCAGGTGGGTGGAGAGCCGGGGTCAGCCCTCGGAGCACAGGTGCCTGCCTGAGGGCCTTGTGAATTAGCGTGGGGGCAGAAGGGCCTTCTGTGAAGTGAGGGTTAAGTATTGGAAGATCATTTTTATGAATGTTAGGTACCAAAAAACGACAGTGGGTATGTGCTACGAGTCATCTGGGTTCTGGGCTCAGAACAAGGACTATCAGGGTCAGATGTAAGATCCTGCAGGGAAGTTGCATACTGAACTGCGGGTCACACGGGCTTCGATAGAGCTAGGTGTGTGGAGCAGAAAGAGGGGAGTATGTAGTTCTTGTCCAGGCCAGGGCTCAGGCAGGTTGGAAGGCAGGAGGTGGGTGGAGAAGTTTGCTTAAGAGGGTGCATGGTGGGCCAGGGGTAAGGTCTGAACCGAGGGAAATGATCAGGTAAGAACAGGAGTCTGTTGTAATTTTAGAGCAGAAGAGGCCCAGAGAGTTCCTAGGGGAAGAGGGGACTTAGTTTAACCTCTCGTCCTGTATCTTTATAATGGGTACTCACAGCCAGCCAAGTTCTCCCTCAGTCCTTGTGCTGAGGTAAGCACGACAGGCTACTTTGTCTGAGGATGTGGCTTTTTATCGTCCAGGCTGCTCTTTCCACCCAGGGACACCCTCACCTCACTCCCCTCCTATTTTCCTCTTCAAAGTTTGAATCTTGAGATTACAAAGAGGCCTGTTGTTCATGTGAGAGAGCAGTACACCAGTCATGTCCAGGAGATAGCACCAGGCTAACTCTGCTGGATTCTGAGCTGCCCTGGAAACACTGTACAGATAGAGGTGTTGAAAGAAAAAAGGGCTTTATTCTTCTAGGTGGCCAGGTAATTAATCCCCCAGCAAGATAGAGGCTTCATGCACATGCTGTCGGACCACTCGGTCCAGCAGCGTATGCACGTCTCGGGCAGCCTGGGCAGCAGCTTCTAGCACCCACTCTAGGTGGTCCTCATGCAGCCGGGCATCCATCTCAAGTAGTGCGATCTGGCCTGAGGCTGGCAGCAGGGCCAGGGCTAGCTGGGGTCCACCAGCTGCTTCTTCCACATGACTGAGGTCTGCGAGAGCTGTGCCGTCCACAAAGCCAGCTGAGCACGCACACACAAAGTCCCGCATGGGTATCCCAGCGTCTAGCACTGCCAGCGTGGCTGCATTCACACAGGCTGCATATGTTCCACCATCTGCCTGCAGCACCTGCAGAGAAACCACCCCTCTCAGGGGCTGGGACATAAGTCTCAGACCTGCCATCTCACTCTAGCATTCCAGCTACCCTGATATCCTCCAGTCCCCTTCCCTCCCTGGTTGAGGGTTGTAGCTGGTTTACCTGCACATAGATGTCAATCTGGGAGCGTGGGTGCAGCTGTGTGAGGATGGCTGCCTCAAAGGTCTGACGTAGTTGAAGGCCCATCTCACAGGACTTCCGGTCTCCGTGAGGCCTTCGCTTGCGCTCACCTGTGCTGAAGGTTGCTGAACTATATTGACAGTTCACTAGGGCACGGTCAGGCAGGGCCCGAGAGCGGGAGCCCCGAATCTGGAAGAGAAAGGACAAATAAGCCAGGCCTACTTCTTCTAGCTCCTATTTCCCAGTCCTCTGAAGCTCCCTTTCTCCTCTCCCTCCAGTCTCTCAGAGAAGAGCAGATACTTTCTCTCCAAAACAGCTCAGGGGTCACTTGCCAGTCTAAGTCACCATCACCTCTCTTGGTGCATGCCTCTATCCACTGTTTGCTCCATTTCCTCCCAACCCATTCATTCTCTTATTCTCTTATCTTAGAATCACACAAGTCTGATTGTAACTCATCTCCACACATACATTCTGCTTACCTTCCAAAGGCTTACCATTATGTATATAATAAAATTCCACATCCTTTTTCTGGTCCACAAGTCCCTGGGTCCCTACGTCGCTGAAAGCTCTATAACCTCATTTGCAATTATCACACCTACCCCTCCAATCCTCCCCTTTTGCTCTGCAGAAATGCCATGCTTGTTTCTACCAGTGGCCTGCTGTTTTGTTTTGTTCTTTTGACAGAGTCTAACTGTGTAGTGCAGGCTGCTCTTGAACTCACAGTGTAGCCCAGGATGGCCTCAACTTGCTGGGATTACAGGCAAGCCCCATCATGCCTGGCTTCTTCCATCTTTTAGAGGGCTGATCTACCAAATACGCATATGCACTAAGCAAACATTTTTAAAATTCTGCGCTGGCCAGGCCCTGTTACAATGTTTACAACACAGCAATAAAAGCAGACAGCTTTATTTAAAGGCCCAATTCTCCGGAAATGTATAATCCTGGGGGGAAAAGACGAGAAAGTAAAACTGACGTTTGAGGTGGTAGGTGCAGAAAGGCAAGGAAGCGTGTTGTAGTGGATCGCAGAGGCTCATCCCGACAGTGACATGGGAGTTGAACGGCTGAGCCTGGCACGTCGAGGAACCGCAGAGTGCAGGGCCCACCCGGAGGTGCACTGTGAAGACCCTGGCGTTTGCTCGGCCTTCAGCTGCGCAAACGGAGACGCTCCCCATCGCCCCGCCGCTCCCGCGCCGCACACTCGCCTCGTGCGGTCCATAGACCACGGCCAGCGCCTTGGTGTTGCCCTGCTCAATGTACGCCGAGCCGTCCGCCTGCGCGAACACGCCCATCCGTGCCTGGATCTTGCGCAGCTCCCCAGCGCGTCGCCCATCCACCCGGTAGCCCTGGTCCGACAGGAGTTCCAGGCCCGCCATGCCACTGGCTCGGTTCTCTGCTTTCCAGAGAAGTCAAGTTCCCCACGGCCCCTGTCGGTCAGATCTATTGGTATCTGGCGAGCTGGTTCCTTCCGGCTCGGAAGCTACGGCTTCCGGCGGTCCGTCCTCCTTCGGGTTCCGGGGAGCTACGGTTCCTGGCGGCCTCTGGCCTCTCGAACGTACGGTTTCTGGAGGCCAGACCACCTTCCGGTTCCAGGGACCGCCTACTCCCGGCAGTCCGGGTTTTTGAAAAGCCCCGGCGTCCGCAGCTCCGCTTCTCACTTCCGCGCTAGGGGAGGGAAGGCGGTTCCCGGCAGAAGGTTCTCCAGCCTGTTTTTCCTGCTCGGGTCTCTTCGAGCACCGGCGCGCGAGTGGCTAGGCTATCCTGGCCTCAGCGACCGCGGGGAAGAGACGGCAGCTGCAGGTTGGATTTCGCCCGAACTGAGACGCTTTTTTTAAAAATAAAGACAAGGTCTCACTTTGCAGTGCAGACTAGCCTTGAATTTACTTTGTAGCCCAGGTTGACCTCGAGCTCGCAGCGACCCTCCTTTCAACCTTTTGAGTGCTGGGATTACCCGGTTTGAGATTAATTTTAGGTTCTCTTCTGGTTTTTATATATTTATTAACTAAAAAAAAAAAGATGTAATTTTTGGTTAAACTTTTTTGTAGAGCAGATTTAATATTTTCGTTCTCTTGATTCTTCTGTCCACGTTTAAAAATGGACCTGCCCAGATTTTCTCCATGCCACTGGGTTGCATACGGATCATACACAAGCCGGGCATGGTGGCTCAGGAGGTTAGCAAATTGGAAGCCAGCCTGGCCTAAGTAGTGGATTCTGTCCAAAAAGAAAAGAAAGAAAAAGAAAATTCAGACTATACACAGATGTGTGTACTTGTGCACATATAGCTACAGCGTAGCTTTTGCAATTCTTGTGTATGTTTTAGATACTGGAGATTAAATGCAGGGCCTGTATGTGCCATGCAAGTATTTTGTCTACCACTGAGGAACGTCCCCAGCCCCTTCTAAGTTTTCTTGTTTTGTTTTTTGTTTTAATTTTGAGTCAGGATCTTGTTAAATTGCCCAGGTTGCTGGAATTACAGATTTGTGTCACCAAAGTTTGTTTTTGTTTTTAATGGGATCACTTAATAACCAGTTTTTTTGTGGTTCTTTGGAAAAAACCAAAAACTTAGAAATTGGGCATGGTGGAACATACCTGTAATCCCAGTACTATGGGAGGTTGAGGGCAAAGGATCAGAAATGTGAGCCCAGCCTGGGTACCTTAACAGCTTAGTGAGACTCTGTCTTAAAGAAGAGTTAGAGTGTAAATGGCCTAGGTTCAAGCTCCTGTAGGACTCCTCTGTGGCAGAAATGAGGAAAAGAAACAAGAGCTGGATAAGATGGTAGCCTGTTGCCTGCTGGGCAGACACCCCCGGAATAACAGTAGAGGTGTTTATTTATACCTTTGCTAAGTTGCTATCACTTCACACAAGGTTGCCTGATGACTAATAGCTGACGTTAACCAGACAGCATGCTTTTGCTAGGACTGAGGTAGTTTGACTGCTCTAGGCGTTAAAGCCTGGTCCTGCTCTCACACACTTGACCAATTTCCAGCTTCAGTGGCTCCCAACAAGCTATACTGTCAAGGAACTAACTAAAACACTCCTTCAAAAAAAAAAAAAAAAACCCTCTTACTACATTTCTCCAAATTGATTACTTGATAATCATGGGATGGATATACTAGAATATATTCCTGCTCCTGCCCTATGATCTGGCATGTGTTTGGGGGCTTTATTGAGTTTATTGAGTTTATTTATTTATTTTTATTTTTTAAAATTTTATTTGTTTATTTATTTAGTGCGTGTGTGGCCAGCTCAGCCCACCAGGGGGCGGGGCTGGCTGGCATGTGGTGCTGGGGGATTGAACCACAGTACCTGTGTTTTGCTTAGCTTAGCTTGTTCTAAGAAGGTGCCCCAGACCACTGAGCCATCTCACCAGCCCCTTTTGAGTTTATTTTTGAGGCAGGGTCTTGATACATATGTAGTTCAGGCTTGCCTCCAACTCAAAGAGATCCTCCTGCCTCAGCTGCCCAAATGCTGAGATTACAAGTGTGCATCACCACACCCAGCTGAATTCATGATGCTTCAAGCTTTGTCACCCTTGGTGTGTACAGTCCTGTGTTGTTGCTCTTGCATATGTAACTGGTGTGTTTCAACCTGTGTGTTAGTTCATCCCAGTTAGGAAAAAACAGGGTGATGTCCCTACAGGCAATAAAAGTGGGGTGGCTTTTCTCCCTACCACCTCTGCAGGCTTCTGGTTGCTAGAGTTCAGTGTCGCCAGCAGGAAGTCTGTGAGCCCCCTGGCCACAGCTTACGTTCCAAGTCTGAGAGTGGTTGCATGGACCTTCTGTGTTGCAGTACTAACTGAAAAGAGAGAGAAAGTCTTGCCTTGAGAGGCCCCAGGAAGACCAGCACGCTGTGTCCCAGCGTGGCCACATCTGGCACCTCTCATCATTTGTGTCCTTCCATGACATCCAGCTCCCACATTGCAGTCAAATGGGCCTCCATTTTTTCCCTTTGGAACTGCAAATTCTTTTACCCTTTGTAGCAAGAAATACTGTGTTCTGTTACATCTTGCTACATAACCTCAGTGGCTTCAAATAATGAAAATCATTTGATTATTATCTTTCAAAATTCTGGGGATTACTTAGGCTTGCCTAAGTAGCTTGCACTTAGTTCCTGGGGCTGCAGCCATTTAAAGGCTTCCTCATAACCTTGGTGCTTGGTACTGGCTGTAGGCAGGACTGTCTGAGCTGTCACACACTTGCATTTGGCTTTTCCATGTGGCCTGGCTTTCTTGAAGCATTCAGCCAATTTCTCAGGGTGAGGCTCTCGAGACTGTACAGTGAATGTGCAGCCTTGTGATCCAGCCTCCAAGTTATAGTGTCATTCCTGCCAGACCTTGTGAGGTAAGGCAGTCACAGTGGTCTCCCAAGGATTAAAGGAAGGGGACACAGACACTTCCTCAATGAGAAGAGTGCCACTTTTATACCGTAAGAAAAGCAGGTGGACTGAATATCCTGGCATGGGCTGGGCCATATGCTCTGGTATAGGGAGCCTAAGGCCAGAAGTCACAGTGATCCTTCCACAGAGGTTGTGATTTCTTTAAGGCTGAGTGTAAGAGTTGTGAGCAAGTCACACACAGCTGCAGCTGGTTCAAACCATGATGGGCCATCATCTGCCAGTAGCCATCCTGACCCTTCTACCTGAGCACTACAGCTGTCCATGTTCTTTTGGATTGAGGTTGTCCTGTCCAGTCTTTACTATACGTATTTATACTACTAAGATGCTTTGGGGAATTCATCTAGGTTCATGGGCCTTAGTAACTTGGAACAGTGAGGACAATATTAGTTTTCAGCCTAAGGAATCTAAAGTGATCCAGTGGCAGCTGCTGCTTCCAGCTCAGTGAATCATTGCTATGTCCCCTGAGAAAAGAGTCTCCTACTCCCAGGACATGGCAACATAGGTTCAGGGTCTGGGGCCGCTTGCCCCTTTACACCCTAGCTCCTCTGACCCTATATTCCAGCTATAGGTTACATAATGAATGGTCTCAGATTTGGGGGACTCCAGTATATATTAATTTGGGGGATGTCTTAGGGATGCCAAGACCACCCTTGGATTCAGTGATTTGCTGGGAGAACATGTAAAGAATCACGACTGACTTGTTACTAAGAAAATACATAAATAAAAATAAGCCAAAGGAAAAGGTTCATGGGATGAAGTCCAAAGAAAGTCAAGTACAAGCTTCCAGAGCCCTCTCCCTGGGGCCTCAGTACAAAGGTAGCGTGGGTGTGGTACTGTCTAGCAGAGAAGAACATAGACTCTACCTGGGGTTTTTATGGCATATAGCCTACACGGGCACCCTCTTGTAGGTACCCAGATTCCTGACTCCCAGAAGGAAATACTCAGCATAAACCATACTTACTTGCACCGATCGTCTAGACACAGTGTACCACTATTACCAGTAGTGGGAATCATGCCAAAACCGTGTTCCTTAGCCCAGCCGGCTGTGCAGACTTGCCTTTCGAAGGAGAGCAGTCTTTGGCCTGATATATTCTGTTCTGCAAGGAAAGAAAGAAAGTATATAACCAAAATTAAATAAAGATGCACCCTAACATGTAACAAAACTTTCAAAATATGGCAAATATCACAAACTGCAAAATTCAGAAAACTGGTATACTGCCTAACATGTTATTAACCCCAACATGCTTTCCCTACATTTTTGGAGGCATGCTCTATTACCCTCTGAAGAAGATAGTGTTTTTCTGATGTTATTATGTTTTATTATTATTAATATTAATTTATTTTTTGCAGAGCCAGGGATTGAACTCAGGCCCTTGCGCTTGCCCGGCAAGCGCTTATTCAACTGAGCCAGCTCCTCGGCCTCTATGTTTCTTTGAGACAGGGTCGTGCTGTGAAGTTCAGGCTGGCCTTGAGCTCATTTTGTAGACTAGGCTGGCTTCAAATTTTATGATTCCCCTGCCTCAGGCTCCTGAGTACTGGGACTATAGGTGTGTACTACAGTGCCCAGCCTTGTCTTCCTAACATGTTTAATCAAAATTTATTTTTATTGCTTATAATTTAGATAAGTTGCTTTTAGGGAGCACCTCTTTCAGGTAATATCCTGTAAATATTTTTCTCTGAGACGGTGTCTCACTGCACTAACTTGCTATGAACCTCAGGATGGCCTTGAGCTCATGATCCTCCTTCCTCAGTCTCCTTCATGCTAGGAATATCTTGTAAACTTTTAGGACTTGTTTAAGAAAATAAATTTTTTTGGTACTGGCTTTTGAACTCAGGAGCTTTCACTTGCCAGATAGGTGCTTGTGCCTCTGAGCTATATTCCCAGCAGGACTTGGTTAAATTTGAGGAAACCTCTATCAGACTTTTTTAAAACATGAATCATGATTTTAGGGCCCTTTGGCCTTTATTTTTTTTGTGGTACTGTATTGGGAATCGAACTGAGCTTTGCTCTGAATTACATCACCACCTCACCTTCTTTTTATAGTACTGGGAATTGAAAAACCTAAGGTTTTCATGCTGAGCTATATTCCCAATCTCTTCTCCGTGTTTAATTTTTATTTTGAGACAGGGTCTCTTTAAGTCACTAAATTACCCAGGCCGTGAACTTGATGTCCTTCTGCCTCAGCTTCCCAGAATGCTGAGATTACAGGCATACGTGTCACCGTGCTTGGCTTGTGTATGATCTGCATACAATTAGGTAACATGAAGAAAACCTAGGGAGGACCATTTATCAGGTTACAGTCTATCCCTTACACCATGCTACTCTGTTCTCGGCCCCTGCATAAGTAAAACTTTGACATCTTGCTAAGTCTAAAATCTGAGCTCCCTAAGGGCAGTTACTCTTACCTGTTCTTTTTCCTATATAAAAGTCACTTTTTCCTATATAAAAGTCACTATATAAAAGAGGCCCCCGTCTTTTGCCAGGGATCTATGTGATAAGAGTGTGTTCCAGTCTGCCTTAAGTGCAGCCAGTGTTTGCCTAAATGATGTTCAGGTTTGATGTCTGCTTCTTTTATGTGTTATTATTTTTAGTTGAAAAAGATACTTTAGATATTTTTTCCCCTAGTACCTGGGATTGAACGCACAGCATTTGCACTGACGTATATTCCAAACCATTTTCTTTTTCTTTTTTCTTTCTTTCTTTCTTTTTTTTCTTTTTTTTTTTTTTTTTTGTGGAACCAGGGATTGAACTCAGGCCTTTGTGCTTGCCAGGCAAGCACTTATTCTACTGAGCCATCTCCCCGGCACCCCCATTTTATTTTTCAAGGCCAGGTTTCATTAAAGTTGCTAAGTTCCCCAGGTTGGGCTCAAACTTGCCATCCTCCTGCCCAAGCTTCCAGAGTGTTGGAATTAGGGGTGTGCACCACCACAGCTGGCTAGACAATATCTCAGTAACTCTGCATTATGCTTAGCCCATCTTCCTGGGGCTCATTAAGTGGCCTATCTGGACCAGCTTTGTGAAGTCTGGTCTCCCTCTCCCTCTAATAAACAGCTTTTGATGTCACTGCTTGATTTGAGCCCTAGTTCCTGGCTTCCTAGAAGTTGTATCTGGGGGAGCACAGTTTAATGTTGGGACACAGATTAGCCAAAGATTGTGTTTTTAGTTCCCAAAGCCAAAGAGGCCCCTGTCTTTTGCCAGGGATCTATGTGATAAGAGTGTGTTCCAGTCTGCCTTAAGTGCAGCCAGTGTTTGCCTAAATGATGTTCAGGTTTGAACTCCTGAAGCCTGTGAATGTCATCTTACTTGGTAAAACGAACTTTACCATTGTGAGTATGTTACAGATCTAGAGATGGGGAGGTGAACCTGGATTATCCTGCTGGGTGCTAAATATAATCAAACTTTTTTGAGACAGGGTCTGCCTATGTAGTTCAAGGTGTTCTTAAACTCACTCTGGCTGGGTTGTCTTTGAACTCAGCATTCTCCTGCTGTGTTCTGGGAGTTACAAACATTCTCTTTTTGAGTTGGGGTCTCATTATATAATTCAGTCTAGCTTCCTACTTTCTACATAGCTGACTTCAAACTCATGATCCTCTTTTCTTAGCCTCCCAAGTGCTAGGGTTAGAAGTGCATACTATCATACCCAACCACAAGCATACTTATAAGAGGAAAGAAAAGGGGAATTTGACTGCAGAAAAGGGCATGTAACCCTGCAGAGACAGAGGTTGGACAGGTAGATCCACAAGCCAAGGAATAAAAAAGGCAGGTTTTGGCTTCTCTTTTGAACCTCTAGAAGAAAGCATTCTTCTAAGAAAAACACTTTAGTCTCATACAATCAGTTTTGATTGAGCTTCTAGAAATATGGGAAAGTAAATTTCTGTCATTCTTCTTTCTCTTCCCCCTCCTCTTCATTGCCTATTTTTTCTCCTCTTCCTCTTCCTTCTCCTCCTCCTGCTCTTCCTCCTCCTGCTCCTCCTCCTGCTCCTCCTTTGCTCCTTTTCTTCCTTTGCTCCTCCTCTTCTTCCTCTGCTCCTCCTCCTCCTGCTTCTTCTCCTCCTCTTCTTCCTCTGCTCCTCCTTCTCCTCCTTTTCCTTCTTCCTTCTGCTCCTCCTCCTCTTCTTCCTCTGCTCCTCCTCCTTTTCCTTCTTCCTTCTTCCTTCTTCCTCTTCTCCTTTTCCTTTCCTCCTACTTTTTCTTTGTCTCTTTCTGAGACAGGGTCTTGCTGTGCAGTTGAGGCTGGCCTTGAGCTCACTTTGTAGCCCAGGCTGGTCTTGAACTCATAACTATTTTCCTGGCTCGGCCTTCTGAGTGCTGGGATTACAGGCATGTGCTACCATGCCCAGCAGAAAAAAAAGTAATTTTGAGGGATCTGTAGAAAACTAAAGCTTCAAGATACAGTTACCCAAGGTCATACTGTCTTTCACTCTAGGCCTTTTTCCTCCTAGGTTCCTTCTAAATCTCTAGGAATCTTAAAGATGTGAGAAGTCTGTAAATTTATCCTGTGCATTTCTCCCAATACTTTAAATCCATGAATTCTAAAGACTTCCTCTCTCCTAAAAACAGTACTATTAGTTGGGTGTCGTATCTCTAAACTTGAAACACATACAAATAGCTTGTATTTTAATCTAGTTGATAAAGTCAGTTTTTGCTTTCACCCACCAATGGGTGAAACCTAATCTCGAGGCAAGAGATACCAGGTAAACAATAAATAACTAGAAAAAATCCTAGCCCATTTTCAGCATACCCCAAGGCCATATAAGCAACTCCAACAATGGTCATAGTGGGTCTCATCTCTCAAACATCTGTATGCTCTCGGAAGTGGACATTTCTTTGATTCTGCTTAATCTAATTGTGCCTCTTACTGATGCATCCTGAAATGCTTTCTTTTAGGACCTTCCTGAGGCAAGTTAAGGCCCCCATTTTCTCTTTAAGGTTGTCAGGTTTAGTGATGTGTTTCAAAGGCCTTATCTGATGTCATGAAGATGTCAGGTCAGGTACAGATGTTGAGTGTTACTGTGGGCAGTGGGGTCTGGGACAGGTTTCCAGGGTCTTGTGGACAACAAACAAAGAATTGGATGTTGCACACACACAGTAGAAAAGAAAAAGCAGCTAAGTTTAATGAATTTTGTGTCAGAAAGGAAAAATAGCTTGAGCGGACAGTGAAATGGGACAAGCAGAAAGGAAAAATGGCAAGGGTGCTGAATACCCTCATTTTTTGCAATGGTTACATTCCAAGCACCCCTGTAATAAGTGAAAATCAGTGAAATAGCAATGTTTATTTAGTATTTGTATATATTTTAAGGTTTTCTAAACCCTTCTCACACTCTTATAAGCCTTTTCCACACTTTTAAAACCACTTCTAATGTTCCTACCCATTTTCTAAACTTGTAAACCTATGTAATTTTATTTATTTATTTATTTATTTATTTATTTATTTATTATTTTTTGTGGAACCGGGGATTGAACTCAGGCCCTT